AAATACTTCCTCCCTCCCCCCCCCATTTCTCCAGAATCAAAGACTTAAAAAAGGAAATCCATTACAGATTGATTACAAAACACTTTCTCTAGGTGGTATGGCTCAAAACTGAGTTTGTCTTCATCCTGCACAGCAATATGTGATTACTAGGAGGAGAAAAATGATGACTGAGGGTCCCAGGGGTTCTGAAATCCTGTTGTTCTTGTTGTCATCTGAACAGACAAACTCAAAAACATTTGTGATAATCCATTTTGTTACTTGGTGAGTTAACATGGCAACTTTTATAACAGCTGAATGTGTCCCAAAAGAAATTCAATTCAAAGAAGGTGACCTCAGAGTTACACCCACTGTGTAGTTTTCCTCTGTCCACATTTTGCACTATCAGGCAATCTCAAATCAACTCAGTCCACTTAAAGACATATGGGAAAAGAAATTGCTTGAGTCACTCAGATACTTATCTATCTCAGGCAAAAGGAAAACTGAAAATTTCTTACACAGTTGATAATTTCTGCTTTTGATTTGGAAAACACAGAGCCCACGGCGCTAAACCACAATTTATGGAAATTGCAGCTCAAATATTGGACAACTAGTTAGAATTATTACCAAGTAAAACCAAGCCATTTATCCTTGTCACTGATGTCGTGGAACTTCTAAAGATGTCACGTTCTCCTCAGTGTACACTGTCAACTTGCTCCATTTCACCCTGCTTTGAAACAGTGAAAGTCAACTAGCAACTCTTACTCCAGTTTGCAGCCTGTATTTTTCCACTCTAGATTTAAAACTGTATGGTAATGGAAATTCTGCATTATTGTGCTGATCCATATGAAACAATGGAAGCATTTCAGCCTTAGGCCAATGTAAATCCCAGTGCACCTCCTGGTCCTCACACAGCGGCTGTGTGGGAGCACAGGAAGGTGGGAAGACTGGTAATGCCAAGTCAGGCTCTGCAGACAAGGTCCCTGTGCCAGCCTGTCACAAGGAATGCACTCACAGAACGTGTTCCATCCATCCCTCAGGTACCAGCACGGAGAACCCAAAGCCTTTTCCCCCACCTCTGGGGCTACATATCTCCTTTTACAAAATCCACGGGACTTTACATGCATAGAGAGTGGAATTTCCCTCACTGGTGATTTTTGGCTGCCACTAACAGCCAGTAAATTTTACACATGGCTGCAAGCAACTTAACATTCTCTCACTCAACTTTGCTTCAATTACTAAACCAAAACACGTTCTACAGATTATTATTTTTGTACTCAAAGTAGGTTAAAAACATCTGGAGGTGTTAATAGCAGAAAGATAAGAAAGTTACATTTTTAGTTCCCCTGTCAGTTGTTTTCTTCACCATCTCCTTTCACACCACAGGTACTCCCCAAGCTCCTCAGTGCCTTCCACCAGCGCAGCGCGCTGTCCCCGTCAGAGCCGAGGCATTTGCATTTCAATGGCCTGCCCGTAGCCGAATGTCAGCTCTGACACACCGAGGCACGGGAGGGAGCAGCTCGGCCGGATTCCTCGGCAGGATTCCCCGGCAGCAGTGCGAGCAGCGCGGGGCTGGCAGGAGACAGCCAGGCTCCCCTCGGAGCCCACCTGGAATCCTGTGGGGCTCCAACAGCCTCACAGCCAAAAAAACCACCAAAACAACAGAGAGAGAAAGGATTATTAACACTGAAACCCAGCCTCATCACAGCAATCAGAACACGAGAAACAAGGAGGAAAGCTGCAGATCCCTTCAGAGAAAAGGGCAAAGAAAACATGGGCCGTTAGCAGGGATGGGACAGTGTGATCCTAAACCGGGATGAGGGAGCTGGAGGAAAAGGGAGCCTAAGAGCAAAGACTAAACAGGAAAAAGGAAAAGGAAACGCACAGGAGTGCAAATGCAGAAAAAAGGTAGAGAAAACATGTTACGAGTAGTTAATTTAAAGTAAGTTTTTCACATACATATTTTTCCTAGCAGAAAAAATAACCTTCCTACAGAAGGTTAACAGTAAGGGTCTATGACTTGATTACAATAGTTATCATAATCTTTTACTATCCTGTTTATGAAAAATAAATTAGTCAACATTTAGGAGTCATTTAGCCAAATAGCATCCTCCCCTTTATTCTTCTTTTAATGACTGATTCCAACCAAATCCTTTACTTGGAAAGTAAACAGGAAATAATACATATATTAGTTAACATGTCTAGAAGTGGATTTTCTGAAGAGCTGACAAGTCAGAAACACAGATTACCCAAGAAGTTGAAATGGTATTTTGTCTTTTTGCTCTTTCACTGAAAGAGCCATAAGACTTGCAGACACATAGAAAATGCTGTTCCTTCAAACTAACTGTATGCTCCAAAGTAGAAGGAAATGCAAACATTGCATCCATTATGAACTGCAGCCGAGTGAAAGTGCCTACCTGCAGCCAAGGCCATGCAGCAAAGTCTGCTGGCTCCTTGTTCTGCAGCTCCTGCCCAGGCTCAGGAATCACACCCCACCTGCCACAGGTGAGGAAGGTGTAGCTGAGCCAAAGAGATCTGTCCAAAAAGGTAATTTAGGAAATCTGTGACTGAAGTTATCTACATGGGATATCCTAGCAATACAGTAAAGCCATCAGGAAATGAATACATGAGATTAATCATGGAAAGTTACTCATGGAAAAACTGGTAATTCCTTCTCTCATACTTCTGTGTTTTAGAGAATAAAACAAAGTTTTCCTGAAAACACACTGAGCAGTAACTCTGCCAGGAAGATGCTTCATCTGGATAAAACAATTTAGCTGCTTTACAGACACAACCTTTTAAGCCAGTATGAAACTAGATTAAGAGCTCTAAGAAGTCCAAACAACCAAATAAAATCTCCACAAGTATTTGCCACTCTTGCTACACCCCAAGATTCAGACTGTCTAGAGGAGGCTGTAAGTCAAACAAAAGTCACACAGAAGGAGTAAATCCACAAAGTTTGTCACAAAGGCAGATCAGCTGGCAATTTTAAGCAAGTTAAAGTAAACTTTCTATCTATAGAACCTAATTATTGGAATTCCATAAAGTCTTGGTTCCTAAAACAACTACGTGTTCTTTCCTTCATGCCCATATATCTCCATATGTTATTTTTTCTGTAAATATCTGGGAATAAAATGTTTTAGCAGACATTAGACAGTCTTTAAGCCAGAACAAGTAAGGGGAAAAACTTTGGAGGCACTTACGAAGCAGTTAAAGACGAATGAGCTCAACAAAAGTAAATGGCAAAGACCTAAAGTAAACAGAAGTTATGTTCTCTGAGAAGGAGCCCCTATTAAATCCGAGGTCAGAGATCCACCAGACGACATTCCCCCTTGCCCCAGTGCTCACCTCGGAGCAGCCTGGCCATTCTGCACCAGATACCAGCTGCTCCACAAGTAACAAACAACTGCAAAGTATTCACATCGTTTCACTTGCTGTCCCAGCGTGAATCCCAGCCTTCCCAGCCCACCCTCAATAAAAACCGGGCAAACAGACCGACCCACCTCCAAATCCAAAACAACCTTCGAGAGAAAGGACCGAGAGGATGGAATGCAGCTACACACGTACACGCTAGCACAAAACGCCTTTCAAGTCAGTAATTCGCAATAATAACAGAGCAGGGACAGAGTCCCGGCAGGAACAGCATCCACCCGGCACCCACAGCAGCTTTACCCCGGGAAATTCCTCGAAGGTGTCAGCGCGGCGGCAGGCGCTGCCCGGCAGGGCGCGGGATCGCGCCGCACGCTCCCAGCCGCGCTGCGGGCTCGGCCGGCGCCCGGGGCTGCGGGGGAGC